TTTGTTTTTCATTGCAAAGCTTATTGGCTCTTGTAGTCTGAGCACCTTTCAGTCATGAAGGCAGTGGAAAACATTTCAGCCAATTCAGTATAATCACAGGTTACCACTTTTTTGATATTATGAAACAAATCATGTATACCAATATAACTAATTTAATAACTGTACCAATATAACTAATCTCAATGGATTCTGTTTTGTTGTTTAAGTTCCATAGAGCATACAGCATGGAAAGACCCTTCGGTCCAACTTGTCCATGTCAACCAAGTTTCCCAAACTAAACTAGTCCCACTTGCCTGTGTTTGGCCCACGTACCTCCAAACTTTTCTTATCTCCAAAAAATTTTCTGTTGGTGGTGCTTTGATTGCTCCTCAACCAGCTAATTGTTAACTTTATATCATTTAAGTCATTCGCCATTTGGAGAAGGTGAAGGTCAACATATGCCTTCCTACTCAACAGTGAGAATTCTTGATTACAAAGTACATATAGCTTTTCTACTTTTTGTTATCCCCTACATAGGGTTGCTTGAAAATGGGGACCGTCTGCACCTGTGAGCTTGATTTGCTCCACAGTGCTGACTTTTAATCTCTGGTGTTTGTCTTATTCACTGTACTAGTTTCTCATGTCAGTTGTCCATGTTTTGAGCCTTGTGTTTTTAATGGATTCTATTAATCTGCTGTGGCAAGGTTGATCTCTTAGAATTAATCTGTGTTGCTTTCTGCTTCACTCACCATCTTAGCAGCTTTCTCTAGAGACAGAATTTCTTTGGACTGTAATGAATCTGACAAAGACTCATCAGAATTCCTAAAACAATTGTCTCTTATGAATTCTGACTTGAAGTCACCTAGTTTCATTTCACCACTAATCTGTAGAAATCATTAAAGAAATTATCAATGGTTTCCCTTGGATGTAGAATTCTCCTCTTGAATCTTGCTCTTTCAAGAATTTTAATAATTCTGACGGGGCAAAGTCTTTCAGTAATTCTCCAAAAGCGTCTATTGTTTATTTACTACTTGGCAAGCTATAACCTCAGCAGCTACACTTCCAATTAAGTATAAAGTGTATTTACCTGTTTAGCTTCTGATTTAATATCTAATTTAGAAGATATTTTTCAACTCAGAAGTTGTTTTTTCCAGGATCTCCAGTTCTGTGCACTTTTTTTTATTCACAAGTCGGACATGGGTGTCGCTGATTGGCCAGCATTTATTGCACATCTCAAGTTGCCCTTTGGTGATGGTGGTGAGCTGCCTTCTTGAACCGCTATAGTCCATGTGCTGTAGGTAGACCCACAATGGTATTAAGGTGGTAATTCCAGGGGTTTGACCCAAAGGCAGTGAAACAACAGCGATACTCTTCCATGTCAAGATGTTGAGCAGCCTGAAGGGGAACTTGCAAGTGATCATATTCCTATGTACCTGCTGCCCTTGTCCTTCTTGATAGTAGTGAACGTGGGTTTGGAAGGTGCCCTCTAAGGATCTTTGGTGAATTTTTGCAGTACACCTTGTAGATAGTACATACTGCTGCTAATAAGTATCGGTTGTGGAGGGAGTGGATGTTTGTGGATGTGGTGCCAATCAAGTGGGCTTTGTCCTGGATGGTTTCAAGCTTCTTGAGTGTTGTCAGAGCTGCAAATCTCCAGGCGAGTTGGGAGTGTTGCATCACACACCTGACTTGTGTCTTGGAGATGGTAGTCAGGCTCTGGGGAAGTCAGGAAATGAATTATTTGCTGCAGTATTCCAAGTCTCTGACCTATTCTTGTAGCCACTATATATATGGTGAGTCCGGTTTCTGGTCAATACTGTCCCTAGGATGTTGACAGAGGGGTGTCAGTGATGGTAATGCCATTGAATTTCAAGGGCTAGCAGTTAGGCTTCTCTCGTTGGAGATGGTCATCGCTCGATATTTGTGTGGCACGAATATTACTTGCCACTTTTACAGTCTTGGCTGTCATCAGCAAACATCCCCACTTCTGCCCTTATAAGAGAGGGAAGGTCATTGATGAAGCAGCTAAAGATGTTTGGCCTAGGACAGTATCCCGAGGAACTTCTGCAGAGATGATTGACCTCCTATTTCTCTGTGCCAGATATGACTCATAGTATTTTGCCTTTCTCTGAAATAAAGTCTTCCTGGCAATCTTATTTCTTATGTCATGACTTCCTAATGCAATAATATATTTTATTGCTTAAAAGACTTTTAATTTGTGGTAATAGCACTGTCTGCTGGTCTTCGCTGCTTTTCTGGAGAATCTTCCTGCATTTTGCAGCTTTAAAGGAGGATTTCCAACTTTAAAGAAAAAATGCAAGATTCCCACCTTCTGCACAGCTTGGATCATCTTTACAGATCACTGCTTCACATTGTAATCAGTATCTGCATTGGAGTAACTAATTCTCTGACTCCAGGGACTTGCTTATTCTCGTTTCAGCAAGTCTCTTACCAGGTCTGAAATGCTTTTACCATTCATGGGAATATTCTTCCTTGAGGTTGCAGACTTGTTCACCAAGCTGGTGTGTTTGATTGCATACATTTCGTCACGCCGCTAGTTAACATTGTCAATGCGCCTTCAGTGAAGCGTTGGTGTTCCATCCTGCTTGTTATTTATATGCCTCGGTTTGCTGGAGTGGTTGGTATCACTTCCAGTTCTGTTTCTCAGTGGTTTGTACATCGGGTCCAGTTCTATGTGTTTGGAAGAAGGGTCCCAACCTGAAACGTCGACTGTCCAACTCCTCTGATACTGCCTGACCTGCTCTGTTCCTCCAGCTCCACATTGTGTTGACTCTGACTCCAGCATCTGCAGCTTTTGCTATCTCCGAGTAATGCCAACCACCCCAGCAGACCAAGGCATACAAATAACAAGCGGGATGGAACACCAATGCTTCACCAGAGGTGCACTGACAATGTTACCTAGCAGGGTGACAAAACGTCTGCAATCAAACACACCAGCCCGGTGAGCAAGTTTGCAACCTCATCTACAACCCAAGCTACAAATCTTCTCAAAAGCTATACATTCTTCTTTGTTAAGGATTGCCACAAGAGGTTCCGAGTAGGCATCTTAAATCTTCAGCTCTTCCCTGGTGCTGGCTGTGCTGCATAAGCAGGTGATCTAAAGCTAGTCCAAAGATTTCCTACAGATGCCTACCATTTTCTGTGTGCATGCCAGCTCATGATGAAAGCTGCTGGCACCATCACCATTATGAATAGGAAACTCCAGAGTCTACTTGATCTCGTGCGGTTGAGGAAGACCACATCTTGGTCTAACTAGAAGAGTAACTCGTTAAGATATTGCTTATGACATGCCAGCACCTAGTTACAGGTTACAAAGATATCACAGACATTGTTGCAGACACTTTGAGGCAACTTAAATGTTCAGTCTCACCCCTTTGAGATCCTAAGCTGTTTTGTTCACAACTCTTTGACATCATCATCAGGCACAATGCTTAGAGCTCTCCTCAGCATTAATTTTTTTACAAGTCCATATACAACACTATCCTTGGGTTCTTGTGGTGCAGGAATAATGAGGACAAGATGGCATGAGGAGATGTCTCCACTGGTTGAAGTAATGCCAATGGTAACAAAGATCAATCTATCATTGGATATGGGCTCAAGTCCCACCAGCCCTAGACATGTGTCTGAACAATTTGACTGAAAACATCTACAATGCCGCCCTTTTACGAGTCCTGCAATTAGTCTCCCAACAGATAATTAATAAGTTTGTTTTTCCTCCAGTCACCCTTGGCTCTTTTGCCAATTACTTTAAATGTATATCTTCTGATTCCCCACCCTTGCATCAGTGGGAATAGTTACTCCTTATCCAGTCTGTCCAGATCCCTCAAAAATTTTCAACGTTTCAACCTTCCCTTCTCAGGGGAAAAAGCTCAGCTTTTCCACTTGATTCATCCACTTAAGTTCCTCATCCCTGGAGCCGTTGTTGTGAAGGTTTTCCACAGTTTCTTTGAAGCCTTCATAGCCTTTCTACAGTGTACTCCAAATGAGCCTAAACCAGGGTTTTATAAAGATTCAACATAACATCGTTGTATCGCTTTATCAAAAGCAGGATCCTGTAAGTCATTTCCACCACTTTGACAGTGGTGCAAGTATATGCATTCCTTACGATTGGCATTATTTAAATCGACAATGGAAACTATCAGCTCAGTTTTGCAGAAATAAGAACTTGCATTTATATAGCACCTCCAAAAACACCTAACAGCCCCTAAAGTACTTTTGAAGTGGTCACTGTTGCAATGTAAGAAATATGGCAGCCCAATTTATAAACAATGCAATAATGAACAATCAAATTTAGTGTTAGTTGAAGGATGATGACCGGTAATGCAAAAAATATTGGGGATGGTGGATGTAAATGGAAAATGTTGGAGATTTAGAAAGGAGGGAAGGACAGAGTGGACGTACAAAGAACAGTTTTCGGATAGGAAGGGCAAGATGGCTTGAGATGACGTCTCTGGAGTACCTATGGTAACACAGATCAATCCATCACTGGATGTGGGTTATCTGACAGGAAAGTATTACAAATACCACATCATATATAAAGCCACAGACAGTAGCATTTTGTCGCCAACACTTGTGCAAGGTCGAGCTCGGCGGCGAGGGCAATGTCTACAAACAAAATGCACCATCATCCAAAGGTTAAATTTGAAACAGAAAACGCCGCAACTTTAAAAGAAGTGTCTACTACAAGTTGCAGGTCTGCAGGCCGGTGTGAGTGTGCTGTAGGGATCATGCAGAATTTAAACCAGAGTTCCTGCTCCGGGTTTAAATGGGGGCATTGACACTGTCCATCCCTCCTCTGTGTGCCCGCGGTGAGGTGCATGTACACGCGGCCAAGATTCAACTCGAGGCCGGGGATGAGTGCAACCGAGAGCCGATTCCACCCCCAGCGCTGAAAGCGGCGGCTCAGGGCACAGAGACCCCGCGGAGAAGGAGGAGGACAGAGCGGATCCCAATCTTCCAGAGGACTGAAGTACCCGAAACGCCTGCAGAGAGGGGCTTACCTGGGGTCGCCCACACCGTGCGCCCTCCCTCGACTGACGCGCACGCCCCCGCCCCCGCCCCCCGGGGATGAGGTGCTCGCTCCCGCAGCAGCGCCCCCTCGTGGTACTCCTCCCAGCTCCGATTCATTCACTCACCCCACACCAGTCCCCGCACTCCTCCCAGCCTTGACTCAGTGGCAACAGGAGAGCTCCCAAGCTCACATCTGCCTTCTGGGCGTCAGTCACCCAACCTTGGTGGGGTCGGGGTGGCCTTAGTAACAGGAGTAGGCCATTCAGCCCCTTGATCTTGTTCTGCTATGCGATGAGACCAAGGCTGATCTGAGACCTGACTCCATACGTCTGTCTTTTGCCCGTTTCCCTTCATACCTTTGCTTAACAAAAATTTATCTGCCTTAGATTTAAAATTAATATCTGATCTTGCATCAACTGTCCTTTGTGGAAAAGAGTTTCAAACACCTTTTTTTTTCTCTGAAGAAGGGTCCAGACCCGAAACGTCAGCTTTCCTGCTCTTCTGATGCTGCTTGGCCTGCTGTGTTCATCCAGCTCTACACCTTGTTATCTCAGATTCTCCAGCATTGGCAGTTACTACTATCTCAAACATCTACTGCCCTTTGTGTGTACAAGTGCTTCCGAACATCTCTCCTGAACTGTCTGGCTATAACTCTCAAACTAGTTCTAGAATCTCCAACCAATGGAACTAGTTTATCTACCCTGTCTTTTCCTGCTAATATCTTGAAGACCTCAATCAGATCACCCATAAACCTCCTAAATTCTAGAGAAAAGAGGCCTAATTTGCATAATCTGTCCTCATAACTTAACCCCTCAAGTCCAGGTATCATTCCTGTAAATCAATGTTGTACTCCCTCCAAGGCCAATATGTCCTTCCTAATGTCTAGTGCCACCCCAACTTATTCCCACTGCTGCAGACTCCATGCCTCTCGCTGTTTGCTGTCTGAAGCTGTCCCCTGATATAGAAAATGCTTCAGCAGCTCTATCAGCATCTGTGGAGATAGAAGGAGAGTTCATGTTTCAAGTCCAAAATTTCTCTTCTTCAGAACTGAAGGGAGCTGTTCTTTTTATGCAATGGACAGACGTGGAGGAGGAGAGTGTGTACCTGTTGGTGAGGATGACCAGAGAAAAGACAAAGGAAGTGCTATGGTGGTAAAGATTTGGAGAAGTAAAATAGGTGTATACGTTAGGAGTGATTAGCCTGCTCTGCTGAAAGCAAACTGTCTGTCTCCTGGCTTGAGATGAGGTTTCCTGCTTCATTATCAAGACCATCTACTTTCACCTCCATGACATTGGCCCATCTCCAACCCTGCCTTAGCTCTTCAACTGCAAAAACCCTCATCTAGTCCATTGTCTAGACCACTTTGTTCACAAACGTGATGACATATTTGGTCCTGAGATGACCCATTTTTCGTTCATAGGATGTGGGCATCACTGACAACACCATCAATTCTTGCCCATCCCTAATTGCCCCTGAACTGAATGGCTTGCTAGGCCATTTCAGAAGACATTTGTTGTGGGACTGAACTCACATCCAGGTCAGACTTGGTAAGGACATCAGATTTCCCTCCCTAAAGGACATTATTGAACCAGATGGGATTTTTACAACAATCAGTCATAGCTTATGGATCACTACAGTGGAGACTAGCTTTCAAATTCCAGCTGAATTAATTGAATTTAAAATTCATCACCTTGCATGGTGGGTTTTGAATCTGTGATCCAGGAGCATAATCATCTGAATTACAAGTTTAATGACATTACTCACCATCATCCTGATTGCAGCTAAGACTGTCTATTTCTACTACCGTAACCTCATTGCCTCAGCTCTTGTACTGTTGAAAATCCTGTCCATGCCTTTGATATCTCCATACCTGACTACTCCCATTCATTCTTGGCCAGCTTTCCACATTCTGTAAACTTGAGGTCGTCCAATCTTCTGTTGCTTGTATCCTGACATGCTCCAAATGCAGTTCACCCTTCACCACCCTCCTCTCTCCTTGTAATCTCCTCCAGTTCCACAGCCCTCTTGCAATTCATGCCTGTTGCATTTCATTGCTCTTCCAATGGTGTCTGTGTCTTCATGTGTCCAGGCCTTAAGCTCTGGAATTCCCTCCCTAAACATCTCTGACTCTCTTCTTCACTTTAAGATGAAGTTAGTGAAGTGATTCCTGTGTCCCTTGCTGAGATATCTGTATCATCGATAGCCACGGGTGAGGTGCTGGAAGAGTGGAGGGTGGCTAATGTGGTGCCATTTTTTAAGAAGAGTGGTCAGGAAAAGCCAGGAAAATCTATAGACCGGTGAGCCTGAAATCAGTGGTGGATAATTTGTTGAAGGGGATTCTTAGAGACAGGAATTACATGTATTTGGGAAGGCAAAGACTGAATAGTGATAGTCAACATGGCTTTGTGTGTGGGACATTATGTACCAATAACTTGATTGAGTTTTTTGAAGAAGTGACAAAAAAATTGATAAAAGGCAGAGCAGTGGACGTTGCCTATATGGACTTCAGCAAGGCATTTGACAAGGTTCCATGTGGTAGATTAATTAGCAAGGTTAGATCACATTGAATACAGGGACAGCTAGCCATTTGAATACAAAATTGGCTTGAAGGTAGAAGGCAGAAGGTGATGGTAGAAGGTTTTTTTTCAGACAGGAGGCCTGTGACCAGTGGTGTGTCACAAGGATTGGTGCTGTGTCCACTGCTTTTTGTCATTTATATAAACGATTTGGATGTGAATAAAGAAGGAATGGTTAGTAAGTTTGCAGATGACACCAAATTGGTGGCATAGTGGACAGTGAAGAAGGTTATCTCAGAGTATAATGGGACCTTAATCAGATGGCCAAGGAGTAGCAGATGGAGTTTAATTTAGATAAATGTGAGGTGCTGCATTTTGGTAAGGCAAACCAGGGTAGGAGTTATACAATTAATGGTAGGGCCCTGGGGAGTGTTGCCAAACAAAGAGACCTTGGAGTGAATGTTCATAATTCCTTGAAGGTGGAGTGAAGAGAGCATTTGGTACGCTTGCCTTCATTGGTCAGTGCATTGAGTATAGAAATTGGGATGTCATGTTGCGGTTGCACAGGATATTGGTTAGGCCAGCTTTGGAACACTGGATTCAATTCTGGTCTCCCTGCTATTGGAAAGATGTTGTGAAACTTGAAAGGGTTCAGAAAAGATTTACAAGGATGTTGCCAGGTTTGGAGGTTTGAGCTATAAAGAGAGGCTGAATAGGCTGGGGCTATTTTCCCTGGAGCTTTGGAAGCTGTGATTTATAAAATCATGAGGAGCATGGAAAAAGGTGAATAGCCAAGGTCTTTTTCCCAGGGCAGGGGAGTCCAAAATTAAAGGGCGTTGGTTTAAGGTCAGAGGGAAAAAAATTAAAAGTGTCCTAAGGGGTAACTTTTTCACACAGAGGGTAGTGCAAGTATGGATTGAGTTGCCAGAGGAAGTGGTGGAGGCACTTACAATTAGAACATTTAAAAGGCATTTGGATGGGTATATCAATAGGAAAGGTACAGAGGGATATGCGCCAAATGCTGGCAAAAGGGACTAGATTAATTTGGATATCTGGCCAGCATGGATGTGTTGGACCAAAGGATCTGTTTCCATGCTGTACAACTCTATGACTCAAAGATAACCCTTAAATCCTACCTTAACCACGAAGTTTTTGAAAACCTAATGCGTTGTTATGTGGCTCAGTGAGTGTCAAATAGAGTTTAATTGTTGCTGTTCATGAATGACAATGGGATATTTTGCTGCATTGAATGTGCTACATAAATTCAGGATGCTAATATTGCTGTTGATACCACCTCCCTTTATTCCAAATTCTGGGCCTTTTGCCAAATAATTCGACAGTTTCTTGTGTAGCAGAGAGGGAACATTATAAATGTTGTGGCTTTGGAGAGACAATACTTTTCCTGTTGGAGAGGAAGCAACAAAATTAGTTACCTTTACTGCACTATTCCAGTGTATAAACCCCTTCACATGAAAAAGAGATGAAAAGATAAGTCAGGAACTCTTTTTCCAAGACAGCAGAGATGAAATCCCAAATGCTAAGTATTTCTCCAATGATATTGAGAATGTATACGTGTAAAATATATTCTTGGGAAGCATTGTAGTAGGGCGGGTTGGGGACCATGTGGTGGGGGTGGGGATGGTGTGGGTGGTGATGATCTTTTGTTCTGTGTCCTTTCAGTCATGTACCAGCTCACTTAAAATTAACACAGGTTATAACAATGAAAAAAATCAAGTTTCCCAGCTCACTTCAAAGACCACAGGAAAAATAAATGTAAAGACACCGTGTTTTTGAACAAAATTGAAAAGTTGATGCAATTACAAGACTTCTAAACTTTTGTATTGGTGGATTGATAGAATGGCTGCAGCAGAGAATCAGGCCACTTAACCTGTCATGTTCTGTGCTGGCTCTCTGCAAAAATAACACACATAGTCTTCCTCTCCTGCACTTTTAGTGTAGCTCTGCAACATTTTCCTCTCCAGGGATTTTAAAAATATTGAATTTCCAAGTGGTATTGTGTCAGGAAACTTGAGTCAGCAAGTTTTTGCGCTGATTTGTTTGGTTGTGCAGTTTAAGTTGGCTTTTGCTACAGATGGTAGTGACTGTTGTATGTTAATGGAATCTCTTCTGGGGTAAAAGTGACTTGTATAAGAAGGACGGATTGCACCCGAATTGCAAGGGGGCTAATATACTGGTGGGGAGACTTGCTAGAGCTGCTCAGGAGGATTTAAACTAGTAAAGGGAGGGCGGAGGTGGTGGTAAGACCCAGGGAGAAAGTGAGGAAAGAGATCAGTCTAAGACTTGGGAAAAGGAGCAAGTCAAACAGTCAGGGAGGCAGAAACAAGGCAGAGAATGAGGTAGGACTGATAAATTAAACTGCATTTATTTCAATGCAAGAGGCCTAACAGGTAAGGCAGATGAGCTCAGGGCATGGTTGGGAACATGGATCTGGCATGTCATAGCAATTACAGCGATGTGGCTCAGGGATGGACAGGACTGGCAGCTTAATGTTCCAGGAAAGAGATGCTATAGAAAGGATAAGAAAGGG